TCAGAACTAGCTAGGGCAAAAGTGGAGCTAGCCGCGCTCCGAAACAAATTCGAAAACATGGGCTAAGCCTTTGTCTCGGGCAATGTCACCTATCTGAACCAGGTAGGTACTAAGAAGTTGTTGCCCGATACAACCCCCAGACCGCCTCTGACAGTCGCTTTCCTGCCTCCTCAAGACGCTACTGGAAAAACGAACAAGTCGAGTGCGATTCTAGAACTGACACGAATGTTAGTAAATCTAATGCAGGAAAGCAAGAATGAGCAGCGCGAATACATCACTTGAATAGAAATGTTGATGCGCTTGATGCGCCCCATCGTCATTCGAGCCGCACCTATGACCCCAGGAATAGCTTCCGCGCAGCCCATGGGGGGCGCTGTAGCTGGTACGGGCGTAAGGATGGATGGGTGTTATACGTGTCACCAACCAGGCCACATACCACGCGAATGCCCCAACCGAACTGCACAGGCCTGAATCGTAGCAAACCCTATGGCAGCTGCACCAGTTGCCAACGAACCTGGGAGAGTAGGGACGATGGTGGAAGAAGCGAAAGGAGGGGGAAATGCGACGGTTGCCACCGAAGAAGCCGCGGAGCCCATTCCACTCGATCAATATATTTCGTTGGGATACCCGGGATTGAGAACGATTGGAGCTATTTGCCCCGTGACTGAAGAGCACGAAGTAACAAAATGGAGGCCATCTCCAGGAGAAATGGAGTCCGATGGACCCTCGTTCGTTACGGGAGAGATTGATGTCTTGGATATAGTTCGGGCCTTAGATCATTGAATTCCCTTACCAATCGGACACCTCCTCTCCATACCGGAACAAGCAAACAACCGGATGTTGCAACACTGCAAGGCGAATAGAAAACGGTCCGCTCTCATTAAACTAGCGACTGTCAAAGGAAAGACTCCAATCCGAGAAGTCAAAGCCGATGTTCCCAGCACCTCGGACCCTGTGCGCTTGGTGCTGATACAAATGGATGACCACTTCCTACGTATGAAGGCGATCCCGTGGAAATCCGCAAAATGCGACGTGGAAGTTTGGGGAGTCCCTTACAGTGCGATCATCGATTCAGGGGCGACCATATTGGCCGTCTCCCTGAGAGTGGTAGAACGGGCAGAAAGAAAGAAGGATCTTATCCCACTAACGAAGGGTCACCACCTCATCTCTGTTGATGAGGAAAAAATCAAAGTGGTGGGGAGGATGACGAATGTCGCTTTCAGATTATGAAAAGTTCATGCATTGGGAGATGTCGTGGTTTTAAACGTGAATACATATGGCGTCCTTATCAGATTACCGGCCCTCCCTGCACTCCAGGCTAACTTATATTTTGAAAAATGATTGATTATCCTCAAGAACACTGACAGAAAACCGTATACCATCTCGATGTGTCTCACTCTCCGGACGACATTGACTGCAGTCCGGAGAGCTCGCCCAAAAGTCGGGGGATCACTCTGAATGATCACCTGGGGAGAATCCACCAACGATTCAGATACGAAAGATAAGGAACCCGTGTCCTTGCCGTGTACTTCCGAAAGTGAGGAGGAAACAGACCATGCGATCCTGAACAGGACACATCGACTAGTTCGCTACCCGGTTCGGTAGAAAACAACAAAGATCTTAGTCCTCACGGAGCGACACCTCCAACAAGCGCATGCCATAATCTTGGGGGAGCCGTTTGTATAGGTGTCCTGAATGATCGATTCTTGGGAACCCCCTTCGACCCTATACGAAGCAACCACCCCATTTCATCCGCGATATTGGGACAATAAATCTTTTTGTGACGTTACGGGGTTACCTCCTCGCTCTTTGCTTGCCATAGAACAACGATTTCGTCAAAACGAACATTTTATATTTTTTGAACGAAATTGAAATTGTCATTTTTGAGCTGATTTAGGTGCAAAAACCATTACAAAGAGATGTTTGGTGTATGGGGTACGGGGTAAAGTGTAAGGTGTAAGGTGTAAGGTGTAAGGTGTAAGGGGTGAGGGGTAAGTGGTAAGGGGTAAGGTGTAAGGGGTAAGGTGTAAGGGGCAAGGTGTGAGGTGAACGGGGTAAGGTGTAAGGGATATGTGGTAAATTGCAAGGGTCAAGTGGCATAACATATCGAGTAATATTTGACACCTTATATACATTGTTTTTGTCACAAACCATCTTGTGGCATCCGCCCCCCCCCC